AATATAATTTATTTTGAACGACTTGTCATATTCTTGACAATGTTACTGTGTTATTTTCCTTTATCCCGTTTAAGATGTTGCAAATTGTAAATTGTTAGAGTTCTTCTATACAGCTTTTTGTATGTTAGATGTTCGAAGAGTTCACGTATATATAAAATGTGCATGAATGACTAGCTAAAGTCAACTGCACTGAACATATATTTAGTCATTTTCTTAAGACAGACCAATAACAAGCATACCAAGTGTTTGTTCTAAAAGCAAAATGAGCAGGTTGCCATCGATTTTATGGGTCAGATGAAACTTTGAAAGGCTAACAAGATACAAAGTCTTATATACTTCCTAAGTTTGCAACAAGGAGCAATAGGCTCAATAATATTATGGGTAATAAATTAAAAATCCTCCCTTTGGAAAAATATCCTTAAAAGGTTCGTAGTTTATGAAGTATGTAGAAATATGATATCTTTAGTCAAAATTACTATAAATTTGATGAAGAAATCAAAAGAAAAATAAATTTCAGCTTATTTCAAGCATAAAGATGTTTTTATACATCTAGAAAACATGCCCAAAAATAGATGGGCTTTTCAGTTTTGAGTTGGCTTCGTTGATTTTTGATCTATCTCCAAGCATTTCAATGAGCTGACATCTATTGCTGGTTTTCAATTTTTTTTCCAATACAGTTTGTTCTTCCTATAAGCTTTTCATGAGATGTCAAATTATAAGTAGGAAGTACTAGCGAATATGAAATATGCCATTGTATGCGATGTGCGACACTGAAATGAGTGTAGCAATAAGCTTGTGGCTTTGAGCGCTGTTTTGAAACCCCTATCAAAGTTCAGTTAACATTTATAAGTCCCCCCTTCGGGCCCTTCCACGTCTCAAAAACAGATGTCGGAAGCAAGAGAACACTCCTTTAGGTTAACAAGCGTCTTATTTTTAATATATTCAATCTATTGCTTGTCTCACAATCGTCCGAGTGCTCGAAACTTACATAAATTACAAATAATATCTGCTTGGTTTCACAAAATATTAAAACAACAATGAACATATACTTGTATACAATGAAATCCAAAATATTTGCAATGCTCCATTGCAATTTGTGAAGCCCTTGCGCGTCTCAAAATTATTTATACCTGGTACAGAACTTTTTGAAAATGCTATCTGAAAAATAGCAACAAAATGTCGTTGCTCGAATATTATCAATACAGATACATGTCGTGTATACAAAGTATTTATATAATGTGCCCTCCCGGCTATCACCATATTTAAGGTGACTCTTGCGCTTGGGACACAGAACGTACGGTTACACATTGTATGGATTGTATTGTAGAGTTCCCACAGTGCTCAAACCTATAAACGTGAGCTTTGCATAGCTCATGGATCATTCAATGTACTCCGGTTTACTTAGAAAGAAAACGTACGTTTGAGACACACTGCATAGCAAGTATTTGAGAATTGGAAAACAACTGATTGCACCTTTTAAACACTCTATAGAAATAATAATATATAGTACCAAACTTACACCATACTTTCTAATTAATTTTACAATTTCAGCGAGAACTTTTTTTGTTTAAGGTATCTTTTCTCAGCAGAAGCAAAATATCATAAAATTTGGATATGGAGTAGGATTTCAAATAATGATCACGTTTCATCAGTTTCTCTTGAGTCAAACGCATATGATCTTACTCTTGACATGGGTGAAGAGAAGTTATATTGGCGAATTTCCGATGACACTGTGTATTCATGTGATTACCTCGCCAAAAATGTGGATATTTTTGCAATATCAGGAGCACGAATAAAAGTATTTGGAAATTTTGTATATGTCATAAATAGTGCAAAGAAAGGCATAGTAACGGCCTATAACACAACAGATAACTTGACTTATAACTTTTCCATCCCTGTGGCTGTGAGTGATGGTCATCATGGAATGGCTGTAGTACAAAGCACTAGTGTAGTGTCAAATGGTAAGTGAAATATCAAATCATTAAACATATGATTCATCAAAACACAAAATCACAAATACTGCTCATAACTCAAACAAACTAACACATGCACTTACGTAAAGTTTAGGCTAGGTAATGATTTATATGAAAAGTCACATTAAAAAGTCATTGAAAAAGCTAAATTTTTATGATTCACATCCATATCATTATGCTCATATATATTTGATAAAGCAATTAAAAATCGTTTCGAAGAAACAAGTTTGTAAATCCTGCTTTATCTTTTACATATGTACTTTAATTCTTGTAAACATTTACTGCCATTAGTTAAACTCTACCTATTAAATACCAATATTTAGTGACAAAACCCTTCAATTTTCCCATATGTGGATCCAACACATACTACAACAAAGTTGATGAAACATTAGAATGCAAATGTATGGAAGGATATGAAGGAGAATGTAATTCATGTACAGGTAGATATATGGATTTTTTATAACAGTACTAAAAGCAGAGCATCTAGCTTGTTCTCTACAATCCAAATTATTTTGCATATGTTTTCATTGTTAAATGGACAAGTGTTTATTTTAGCTATTTTCATTTCTTGTCTTTGGTTTTATATAACTGTCTATCTTAAAAGTATTATCTTTTTAAAATAAGTGGCTTATTATTCACCAACTAAAAAACTTTACATGCTCTAAACATTAATATCATCCTCAATTAGACGTATAAAAATGCTACAATTTTGTTCTCAACTTCTTAACTTTGTTGCCGTGCTACTTTACCAGAAACTGTTGTTAGAAAACTGTCTGTAAACCAATACCAACAACTAGTAAGAAGCAGCTTTGAGCTTACTGTGTTTTACATTATTTCTAAATTTATCGACTCGAATTAAATAAACTACAAATCAGTGATAACTTTGAAAAACCGTATCTTTGTTCATTCAGTAACTGCTTTATGAATCTGTTATTGTTATTTAAATGACACATTTGAAATTACATTACTCGCACGTTTTTATATTAATTTTCTACCTTTAATTTAGAGATGTGTCAGACAGACATGGTTCTTCTCCTTGATACATCAACCTCTATTGGCAAACCCAACTTTGATAGGAAAATAAAACCGTTTCTAAAAAAGTTGGTTTTCAGTCCTAAGCTCAAAGTCGGCCCTGATGGAACCCAAATTGCTATCGTTACATTCAGCGATAAACGTAACACGATGATTCGTTTACCTTTCTCTGCTAGGAAAAAAACAGAGTACATAACATTTATAAACCATGTTTTAATATGGGAGGCTGTTTATGGTTATAGAACGATGACTGTAACTGGTGCAGGCATTGTGGACAAACAGGTGAATTTCTCCTTTAAGATAGGAAAGTTGTAAAATAACACATCTCTTTGACTGATTACATTGCAAAATACATTTTATTTTACGAACAAGATATTCAAGGAGAGCAGTCCACAAAACAACCGACCAAACATCCCTGACGTTGTCTTATTGATAACAGATGGTGTACCACGTGGAAGGATAGAAGGCGATGAATTAAAGGACGCTTACAAATATTCAAGGTGATAAATGATGTGTTAAAGTTACTCTTTGATTTTTCTTTAAGTTTTCCATGATAACATTCTCTCGTTACAAATTTATCAACAACCTTTATTTTCATCACAAAAAGATTTATAGCTCTCTACCGTCATCTACCATTCCCTTGATTTAATGTATTATATTTTAATCAATTCAATAATATCAGATCAATGAAAGACAAAGGCATTCTTATTGTTGGTGTTGTTGTTGGCAGGCCATATATAGTGAAAAAGATTAAGCCATTCATTAAAAAAATATCAACTTCAGAAAAGACAACTTTTGACACAGAATTTGATTCTCTGAACGAAATACTGAACAAAATTGTTGATGCCTTCTGTACGTCTTTTTTACCAGGTTTGTATCAATTTACAGTTTTGTTGTTGTTGAAGTCTTATCGTCATTAAATGAAGTCAACAAATGACCTGTCGTGTTTTATAAAGCAAAAACGGAATTTATATTATTTATAGCTGTTTTATGATGTCTTGTGGCTAGCAAAAAATTATTTTATATGCAAGTTTACTATTTAGCATTGTCATATAAGTAAATATTCCCTTACGTGATGTTGATTTTAGTACTTTCCTATAAAAAGGTCGCTGTAGCTGTTCGTCTATTCAATCTTCAACTGTTTACATCAATTCATCAAAAAAAGCGGTGACTGTAAGTTGGCCAATACCAGTTCGATGTAGAACGAACAGAGTTCCTCAATATACGATGACGATCAGTGGCGTAGCTAGCGGTCTGGCTGGTCGGGCCCAGCCCGACCAAATATTTTCCCAAAAATGAAAAATTTGTTTTCTTTAAAATTGCGAAAATTTTAAATTCTGCGACTCTTTTTGGAATAATCCACAGTCTATTAGTGTAATATTTGTCAAATTGCGTCGTTATTAGCAAAATTATCATATTTTTAAACGTTACTTAGCAACAATGACAAGTGCATTTCTAGTGCCAGGCATTACGCAGTTTAGTCGGGCTCTGAAAATTCAGCCCGACCAAGTAGTAAAATCTATAGTGGGATTATCTGCAATCTGATTGGTTGACAGCAACTGAGCAAACTCAAATGCGCTGTTTCGCAACATCTAGTCGGGCTCTGAAAATTCAGCCCGACCAAGTAATAAAATCTATAGTGGAATATCTGTAATCTGATTGGTTGAGAGTAGCTGAGAACACACTCAAACGTTTAACAACATCTTGTCGGGCTCATTTTCAAAAGCGTGACTTGAAGTTTGAGCTTTCGAAATATACGTTCGGAAATTGTGATAACTTACATTACAATGGCTTCGGCTAATGAAATCGATATAATAAGTGAACTACAAAAGAAACCCTTTTCTGTTCGACAATCAGGCGAGCAAAATATACTCGTAAAGCAGCGGCCAATTCCAAATTTACAAGCGACTACAGGCAATAGAAGCTTTCAGGAAAGTTGGTACTCGAAGAAAGATTGGCTTTGTGGTAGCTCAGAAAAGAGTGCATTGTTCTGTTGGCCTTGTCTTTTATTTGCCCTGGATCGTCATCTTCATGGACGCAGACGGGATTCAAAAACATGAAGAATTTCCTATCCGATTGTAAGAAGCATGAGAAGGCAAAATCGCACATTGGTGCTTACAAGACCTGGAAGACCTACGGTTTTCAGCCTCGTATCGACTGTCTCATGTCACAAACTAGACGTGAAGAGATTCAGCGTCATAACGAGGAGGTAAGGCAAAACAGGGAAATGTTGAAAACCATAACAGAAGCTGTTTTATTCTTGTCTAGGCAAGAGCTTGCATTTAGGGGGCATGATGAATCTAGTAGCAGCATGAATAGAGGAAATTATAGAGAGCTACTTGAAAGTTTTGCCAAGATGGATTCTGTTTTTGAAAGGCGATTACATGGAAGGCTTGCTGAAACCCACCCTTGCTGGGGGAGGGCGGTTTACTGGAGTCTCTCCTGATATTCAGAATGATTTGATTGATTGTCTTGATAAGATAATAGAGGATGAGATTTTAAAGGAAATATATTGGTGCACTTTCTTAACTATACAGGTTGATGAGGCAACTGATGTTTCTACCAAAGAACAATTGAGTGTAATTGTTCGAATGGACAAAGGGGAAAGTGTCATTGAAAGACAGCTTGGGTTTGTTGATGTTAGTTGTGATAGGACTGCAACTGCTATATCATCAGTGGTTAAGGGTAAGTTAAGTCAATATAATAATGTGAAAGAGAAATTTATTGGACAGACTTATGATGGTGCATCTGTTATGTCTGGTCATCTCAATGGTGTTCAAGCTCAGGTTCAGCAGGATTATCCTTATGCTCAATTTGTTCACTGTGCTGCCCATAGACTAAATCTAGTATTATGTCAAGCTGCATCCTCCATCTCACCTGTTAAGATTTTCTTTGTTAATATTAGTGCTTTCTGCACCTTTACTAGCAATTCCCCCCAAAAGAAAAGCTTTACTATCATCCCATAGGCTTGAGTTTCCTAGTCCTGGTGACACAAGATGGTATTATAGGGCTCATGTCATCAATGTTTTGCATTCTAACTATGAGAAACTGATAGACATATTTGAAAATCTTACTGATAATCGAATAGGTTGGGATGATGAACTGTTAAGTAAGGTTACTGGTTTACTTGGCTACTTCAATGGCTTCTTGTTTTGTTTCTTGGTACATGTTTTCCAGAGAATTCTTGAGCAGTCATCCATACTTTATTCTATCTTGCAAGACAAGGACACTGACTTTCATTATGGAATGAGTAGGTTTGAGAGATTCAAGGCCTTTGTTGCTTCTCTGAGAAATGATACAGAATATTGTCAGGTGTACGACCTGGCTGTTGAGAAAGTGGGACCACCAATAACCAGGTATGACCAACGGCATAATTACAAACAAATGTATTTTGAAATTCTTGACACAATTGTGACTATGCTGACTGAGCGATTTCAGGATATGGAGCGTTTTAGAATTTTGACCTTGTTAATCCTAGGGTGTTTAAGATGTGGAAAGGGGAAGTGCCCTCAGAAAAGATAAATCTTCTAAAGGAGGTTTATGGTGATATGTTTGAAATACCAATGCTAGTTAGCCAACTTTGTTTTATTTACAGAGATAAAGACTTTCACTGTGATTCATGCGATGAATTATTGAAATATATATTTCAGTTCCATTATCAATCTATTCCAGAAGTTGTAAAACTGTTAAAGATAAATGGGGTTTTGTCAATTACAAGTGCTTCAGTTGAGAGGTCATTTTCTTGTTTGAAGAGGGTAAAAAATTATCTTAGAAATACTATGAGCCAAGGACGTTTTAGTTCTCTTTGCAGGATTTCCATTCACAAAGACATACTGTCAGAGGAAGAAGACGCCAACACATTGCATGATGAGATAGTAAAGAAGTTCATTGAAAAACCACGAAGACTTGCTTTCTTATACAAATAGGTATTCATATATGGCTGATAGCAAGCTGATGATGTCTTACGTCCATGGCATGTGAGAATTTTTCCTGGAACTTTTTAATGCAGCCAATGATGATTGTCATTTCAGCACGACAATATCATCACAACTTTTGATAGTTGTTGATGACAAATCTGAGCCTTTTTCGGTTCTTTTGTCAAAGTTTCTTTACAAGATGTACATAGGTATCTATTTATGTATGTGGTGTTGAGAAAATAAATCACATATCTGCAACTATTTTTGAACTGTTTCTCTGCTTTACTATAAGATCCTTCGGCAATTTAAATTAACGAAAATGGTTCTATTTCCTGCATAAGTTCACGCATTTGCTTTCTAAGATAGCCGTTTCCGACGTTCTTGGGAGTCTAAATTCGGAAAATTTTCAAGCTCGGCGCCAACCATGGAGGTGCCTCGTGAGCCCGACCAAATGTTTTTCGCTAGCTACGCCACTGATGACGATTAAACCAAATATCACATCCCCACACGATTTTACTGTTGGGAATCATCGTATTGAATATACTTTCATATTCAGAGAAGGATTTTATCATAAATGTTACATAGATATTAAAGTTGAAAGTAAGTATTGACGAAAAGTATTTGTAAGCTTTGAATATCCCAATGGAAACTATATCATTTCTCTGTAAAGTATTTCATCACCACAAAAACGGACATATATGTCGTCTTTGTTTGTTTTTTAAAGACCGCTCTTTTCTCTGTTGTTCATTCATCAATACCTTCACTGACACACTTTACCTTACTTAGTTTATATTTTAGGAATTATAAATACTGTTCTCTTTTTCTCTTATTCATTTATCTTTACTGACAATTGCACAAGTTATCTTAGTTTTGTTTTAGATTGTGTAAAAATAGTTTTTGTTCTCTTTTCTTCGTTTATTACCATCTATACTTACACACATCATTTAATGAATATTTTAGTGTGTGTAAAGACTGTTCTCGTTTTCTATAATCCATTCATCACTGCTTGCACTAACATATGTTTTATTAGTTTTTTTTTCGGTAAGTTCAAAAAGTTTCTTGTTCTTTCTCACAGCATGTGAATGCCAAAGTGCAGCACCAATAACAAAGAAAATTAGGAAGAAAAACCGTTGTATATGTTAAACGGAACGAGCCAAAACCAAAGTGTCCACATACACTGATTAGTCTGTCACCATCAGGAGCAATTTTAGGCGAAGGAAATTTTGGAATTGGGAAATATGATATTACTTATGATTTCGCCATTAGAGGTAACGGGAAAAGCTTTGTTTTTAGCTGTCGATTAACGATCAAGGTCCGCGGATAAATTGAACAATATTTTTCTTTCTTTATTTTTTCATTTGAATTACATGTATCCATGAATCACATTAAGGAGATTTATTGATTTATTTCTAAGTATGAGTATGTACAATGTAGTGTATAAATATATTTTGTAGTATGTCTATGTACTTTGTAGAATATTTTAAAGTTATTGCACTACCATGCTATGTTGTCATCGTTTCAAATACACACGTTCTTAAAGAAACAAAACAAAATAGGTTGTAAGAAAACTGATAAAATGTTCAACTTTTGCTGTGTATAAGATCTTCTAAAGCGCGCGATACTTCTCAAATTGAGAACATCGCATGAATGTGATGTAGGAAATCTTTTAAGCGTTCTCGTTGACGCCATATCTGATTTATATGTATATATGTCATTAAGCTCTATAATAACTGCAGCGGCTTGGTGGACTTGGTCAATAATGCTAAAACATGGATGACAATTAATCTTTTTCCGCTGAAATGATCGCTTTGCAGTAAAAATTATATTCTCGACCTCCCCTTTGTATCTATAGTCAATTATATAGAATTTTTTAAAAAGGAGCGCGATATCTTTTTACGTATTTTTTTCCTAATGCCAAACCTTCAATAGCTCAATTTTTAGGTATCGTAATGTCCACAAAAAGGAGCATGTCGCTTTCACTGGTGAGATATTTGCTTGTAGAAATATTCTTACTACCTCACATGCAAAATATATATAAGAGCTAAATTATAATCACAGTCACGGTCACCAAATTCTGAAGCCTTGCATCTTTGTATCTTCTGTCGACATATAAATTGCTTGTAAATGATGCTAATATGTTCACAGGCAAGTTTTCATCGTTAAAATCTTGGTGTTGGGTAGTATTAATTCGTATCTCAACAACTTTGAGGTATAAAATGGAACAAGCGGGAACATGGAAACATATGGCACAGCAGAAAGCATCACCTTACTCTCATTTGGTTGGACCAAGTTTTGTGGCCAACCATAATGTAAATTGTTTTGGAGACAAAAAGCATGATGGGAAGATTTGCATTTTGACTTTCGGATTTTCATAGTTTTCAAGTGTTCTTAAATATGGGCTTAAGGATATCCTTAATTTTTTCCCTTTTTGGGGGGGGAGGGGGAGGGGGGAGGAGCTCTTCATCTATTCATCAAAAATCATGTTAAGTTCTTTTGAAATCCAGCTTTTTCTAAGGCTTATAACATAAATACATGAATTTGACCCCCTCCCTCCCGCAATTATCAGTTTTCCTACCCCAGCATGTTCTCATATTCTGCAAAGTAATCGTGGCTTGTTATGGCAAGTTTACTATCGAGTGAGTTTTACAACACTGATGTATTTTTTAGTCGCACTCAGGATCTTTTTCAAAACAGTTTTCTGAGAATTTCTATTTTACGCGTCACTAGTTTTATCAAAATGTCCAAAGCACTATGGGCAAAGTGAGCACAAAATTATGTTTTTTAAAAAACCAGTTATACGTATATGTTTTTTGTATTTCCTGTATTTTTCTCTCTTTTTCATTATAATTATAGCTATTCGTGGCTCTTGTCAATATTGTGTAATTTTTAGAATTTGTTGAGAAAGTTGGGAGCCAAAACCAGCAAATAAGCTATAAAGTATATTTAGTCGGTAACTCATTACTGGAATATTTGCTAAGATATTCACTAACATTCCCCCAATCTAAATCACTGTATCCTACAGATTCTAAAGGGTTCTCGCTCTTTCTAAACGTTAGATTTAATTGTGGTGTCCCCTTAAGGTATCTTAGGACATGCTTTGCTGCATTTAATGATGCAACAGTCGGTTTGGATATGTATTGAGACAGTTTGGTAACTATATAGTATAAGTCCGGCCTAGTGCCTGTCATAATGTAAATCAGTGGGTGCGACCGTCTCATGATAGTCAATTCCTGAGACTTGAGAATAACCCTTAGCTACATACCTAACCTTAAACGTCTCCTCATTGTTCATGCCTGTTTTGATTGTGTACACCCATTTTCCACTCACTATTTCACGATTTGGGTGTAACTCAATAGGTGTGAAAGTGTTATTATCCACTAATGAGGTAAACTCATCGTCCATGGCGTTTTTCCACTGGACTGACTCTTTAGAACTTACAGCTTCTGAAAAGGAAGTGGGTAAATCATTCAACCTGTAACAATAATCGACTGCAAGCTTAGTTGTGGTATCAGTTATGTTTTCAAATACATACTCATCTAGATATGCTGGCCTATTCCGGGTTCGGGTTGGATACCTTACAGGGTCATTCCCTTCTAAATCATCAGGTTTCCCCCCTATTTCTGCAGTAGGCTGTTCTGACGTAGGTGTTGCGTAAGAAGGTTGGTAAATTTCATCGTCCGTTGGAGTCTTCTCAATCTCATCATGGATACTATCAAAAAACTTTATGCAACTTACTCTCTCTACTTTCATGTTTTCCGGGTAATATACCAGGTATGCAGGGCAACATTTATCATACCCAATGAAAATCCCCTTCTTGCCTCTAGGTTCAAGCTTTTTCGGGTTTTGCACATAGGCATAGCTCATCCCATAGCTCATACTTATTTTCATCTCCATTGAACATTATTGCTCTCCTGGGCCCATAACCTGTTGGGTTTGATGCAGTGGCCATGATAAATAATCACACTGATGTCTGGAGGTTTTATTACATTTATTCCCACATATAGAAGAAAAACTAGCACACGACAACCAACTGATACACATAATGATACAGCTATTTACATACGTGACGCTAAACTATGATTGGTCATTTTCTTTCCTCTGC